GTATTACAAATTAAATAAATAATATATATTAATGTTAAGAAGTTTTGACAATAAGTTCAATTTTACACTTTATTCTCAGAAAGTTTATTTTAAAAGATATTCTATATTTGTGTTCTTTTTAATTATATGAGTTTGTTTATGAGAATAAATTAAGCATGTGCAAATGATAATTATAGTTTAAAAAATTATGATTATTGGATTAATTCAAACATTATTTAATTCTTTAAGTTCATACATTTTGAAAAAGTATAAAAGAAAATTGTATATCTACAATTAAATTAGTTTTTACTGTGACATTTGAGAGAAAAAATCATATATTTATGTCACATTTGAATTGAGAAAATGGAAATTTATTTAACTTTATGAGAAAATTTATAGTTGATATTAATTTCGATTGATTAGACAAAATCATCTTTGCAGTATGTGTAAATTCTATATATATTACAAGTTAAACTTATGATACTTATAACTATTTATTATTATGTATTACGATATTATTAAGATGAATTTGTCTCCTTATTCTTCTTAAATTACTTAGTTCCTGAAGAATTATGTGTAAAAATATGAATATAGTTCCTGAAGAACTAATACATATTTTCCTTTATGGGCAGATAAAGAATTAATGGTAAAAAAAATGATCCATTGATCTACATTAGAACTTCGGTTTCGAAAGAGTCGGAAAAGTAATAGCCTAATCGAATTAAAATCCATAATTATATATGAACTAGAAAGTACTTGGACTTCCAAGTGATAGAGGTTATTAGCCTATTATATGCTAGTCACTGTTTTTGAAATACATGAATAAGGAAAACATGTTTTTATGACTCACACTTGAGGGGGAGACTGTTGAAATACAAGTGTGAGTTGATGTTAGATAGAGTTTTACTTGAAACTTGTTACAGTAAACCAGAAGTTTACTCACCCAATTAATGTATAGTTGGGGTGGCTTGTTTGATTATCATAAGTAATATATATGATGTAACAAATTATTGATGATTATGTATCGACATTCATTGAAGAACCAGAAGATTCTTCATGAATAGCCAACATATTATATGATCCAAGAATTCATATGTTGCTTATTCTCAATGAGAAATTGATTGCATTGATATCACTAGTTATGATGTAAAATGGATCTCTACATTTCTGGAAATATATCAAATTCAGATATATGGGCCCATACCAATAGCATGTAAACCATACAAGTATTTAATAAATTTGATAGATGCATCTATAAGATGGTTACATGTATTATTATTAATTTGCAACCTGAAGTTTGCAAAATTATATGAGTAATCATTACGTTGAGTGCACAAGTTCCAGACTATGAGATCCAGAAAATTTCTATTGAAAAAGATTGTGAATTTATATCCCAGAATTTCAGTGATCAACATGCATTTGTTAGAAAAATAATTGAAAAGTCTACTTAACAGAAGGATCTGGTAGAATTATTAGCCTCCATGAATGGCTAGATCAACACTTTTGAGAACAAGATCTTCATCTCAGGGTTGGCTTGTTTAGTTTGATATGTTGCAACATTTATGCAAATCAAGCCAATAAAATTCTCCCAATGAAATTGGCTTTTGGTCAGGAGCCAAATACTTTCCATCTCAAAAGTTTGAATATACAATGCTTATGTCTATTGATCCACCACAATATACATATAGATGGATATAAAAAAATTGGAATGAATGTTGGGTAAGAACCTCCTTCTTGTTTGTATCTAAAAGAAACAAAAGGGATGTTTCTAAAAGAAGCAAATGAATTGAGGAGACTCATACTGCATGATTAATTGATTGTCATTCGACAAAATTTTTCCAACATGAGGGGGAGAAATTGAGTAGCTGGAAAAGATAACATATAGAATGCATTATTATTATCAAGTATAGATCCTCAGATATATGATAGTATGAACCAGAAGTTCATCAAAGAATGCATCCTTAAGATATTACAAAATATGTGCCAGATGCTATTACTGACCTAAGTGAGTATTACTAAATCTCATATTCCAGCTGAAAATGCTCCAATTAGTATAAATAAAAGTGAGACATGCCTGAAGCATGAGAGATGAATTGGTTCCAATATAATTATATTGAACAAAAAGGAGCATGAAATTTAAAAGTTATATTAAGGAGGCATGTGCTCTAGAAGAGTACTGAGACATAACTAGTTGAAAAAAAAAGCCCCAGAAGAGGTTCAGGTACCTAAAAGTAATGAAGAGATCTCAATAAGTTATGTCACAAGGGGAAAAATGGAACCAAAAAGATAAATTGTCGACAACGTTTTTGATAACAATATCACGTGATTTTAAAGAGAATCTTATATGAAAATAGAAATTTGGCCAAAAGCAAAAGGAAAAGAGAAAAGATGCAATGGAAATATAATTATTATTTTAATATGTGAAAATTATGGACCTGCAGTCCAAACACATCAAATACAAAGTTATTATGTGACATATGAATATTTTTGTGAAAATAAAGAATTTCATAAAGGTCTAGTGATTATGATTAGGCATAGTATTTTATGGTGGATGCAATAATTTTTGCATATATTACTAGTCTAGCAGTATATCAAAATGAAATATGCGTCTGTTAGATATCGTTATAGCCTATGCATGTGGCTCACTAAATAATGAGGTTTACATGAGAATTCTTGAGGGATTTAAAATGCCAGAAGCATTTATATAGAAGAAAATCATCCAATATTTAAAATATTATGTTAAATAAGATAATCTGAGTATACATATCTGGCTTAAAAAAATGTATTAGAAAATAAATAATTTTGTATCTTACTTGACCCATAAATCAAGTTATTGAATGCATCAATGATTGCAAAATGATTGATTTTGTTATGATAATTTTGTCTGCAAAATATATTCAACTAAATAGACTAGAAGTCCCATATATTTACTCTATAATAATATTTACATATATTGTCAATATTACGTGTTATAATTTTATTGGTAAAAATAAGTTTCTGCAGGTACGCATGTAAATAACGAAATTAAGATTGGATATATAGTTCTATAAAACTATTATATGGTATCATTTTGTTCAAATTAAATTAATCATGCTGATGCAAGATATATTATGATGCTTTTTTAGAATAACTTTTCTTTGCAGTTTTCTTAGTGCAAGTGAAGAATATATTGATAATTCCACATATCTAGAAGATATGTTAGAGGAATACATTTCAATATAAGCTGATGATGATATACTATGCATAGTTCGACTAAAAAGAAGATATGCTTGAAAAAGCATTGGACGACTTGAGAAACTAGTATATTTTATTATGATAAAATGATATAGAGTTATGCTGTTGACAGGGGGAGCAAAGATCATGTTGTACTCTTTTCCTTAACCAAGGTTTTGTCCCACAGGGTTTTCCTGGTTGAGATTTTTAATGAGGCAGCCTTAATATATATTGTGTACTCTTTTTCCTTCACTAGGTTTTTGTCCCATTGGGTTTTTTCTAGTAAGGTTTTAATGAGGCACAATATTTGTTATGGACATCCAAGGGGGAGTGTTATAAATATTGTATATATGTGGATGTCCATAACCCCCAACTCTTAGGATTCTTCATAGGATTCTTGATCTTTGAATGTCTTAAACCCATAACCCCCCAATGAATGACTTTAGAGGAGTTTTCCATGTTTATTGTCATTATTCCCTTATTCATTTCTTTGTAACTCTTAGATTAGATTTTTATGGTTGGGGGCCTATAAATAGAAGCCACATACAAGATATTTGTACCCATATATGTATATGAGAAATACTCCTTGTTTTCTCTCCCAATTCTTGTCTTGATATCCTCTTTCTACTCTCTAACCCTCTCATTTTTATAACAGTAATGTGTTCAACAGTTCCGCCCCCCTTTTTCTGAGCGGAGATATGAACGAGAAGTTGAGACCTTTCACATGGTTGTTTGACGTGGCCAAAAAAAAAATAGTTCTTTTGAGATCAAATTAATTTAAGAATGAAAGTATCCAAACGCGATACTGTTATTGAGATAACTTATTGTTAACCATGTAGAAAGGAAAACAATTTATAGATTATGGTGTTTGGTGCATTGTATTGGCCTTAGTCCTCTATATTGTCTTAATATATGGAGTATCTTTTAGTATTAGTGAGGCTACTTGTTATATTATTAATTAAAGAATTAAAGAACCACACGCTAGTGATGTTTTTCTTGAGATGAAAATCATGATTTATTTATAAATATCTTAAAAATCATTAATCATTAATCATCAAAATAATGTAGATATTAATTGAAAAATATATTCCTTAATTTTTTATATTACAATAAAAAAGACTAAAAAGGAAAAACAAAAAGGTTGTTCATGTTAAATTATGATAAATCATTGCAGATATTAAAGTTTGTACGGAGTTGGATAGGTAAACACTATCACGTTTTTGTCTTACCATAAATCATTTTTGACTAATTTATTATATTTTTGTCTGATCATAAATCATTTTTAACTAATTTATATATACATTTTAAAATTAGCAAATGTTTAATTAAAATGACCAAAAACATGGAAAAATTGGTAAAAAAAATTTCTGTCTGAAAATTTAATTAGTTAAAAGGATCTAAATTTCAGAGCGTGTAAGTATAATACATGAGCATAACTTATGTTCCGCTGTGTGTAAATAACTCCAGTATTGATGATTGTTACATGTCATAAATGATATATTACACACAAAAATATATGCCATACTCACAAATCATAGTTGCACTCGTTTAAATCCAGGTCCTTTTAAATAATATACTTACAAATCATAGAGTATATTAGTAATATAATAGTATTATTCAATTAAGTGCGTCATATTCAACAGGATGATATTTATATTTTTTTTGCCAGCACTTTTTTAGTGTTAATATTATTATGGTCTTATTAATTATTATAATTACGATTTCCCTGTCTATCGCTTTCCTGCAAAAATTGACCCGCTGTATATAAACGCTGTCCCTCGCGCCCCCACACAGCCACACCCATTTTCTAACCTCTTGACTATCTTAATTCTGATGCAAATTGCAATAGCGGAAACTCCAGCTCACGCTACCATTGCTTCTTCCTAGATCGAATCAGGTTCTTTTCTTTTCCCTTTTTGTTTTTAATTTTTTCCCTTAATTTTTCTGATTCATTCTTCAGTGCAGCGAAGCAACGGGTTAAAGTTATAATTTCCCCCTCTTGCGTCAATTTTGCCTTAGACTTTGAATTAAAATTTAATTTCATCTCCTGTCATTTGCTTCTAAATTCAGAATCTTTTGGAGTTTAATTTCCTGGGTTTTGGCATTCTTGTCGGTTTTGGCGGGTTTGAAACTTTATCGAGAGTTTTTTCCCCAAATGATCATCTCGTCACTCTCTACTTGCTTCTTGGAATCCGTAATCATGGTTCAAACCTGTGATGGAGTTCTTCTATAAAATCGTTATATTGATGCTTCTTTCCTGGGTGGGTGCATTTAAGGGGGATACGCCAACGAATCAGTTTTGTTGTTCTCTGGGCTTTCCAAAATCTCAATTCTGGATTAGTTACTCAGTTTTTTAACCTTTTGATACATTCACTTATTCCTCTTTTTCCTTGACAGAATTTCCAATTTCGTCTTGGAGGCTTATGATGACCAACATTTGAGTTAGCAGTGGTGGCGTTTTAAGCTGGCTTTAAGCTTTTCGCTATGCTTGTGTTTGACTTTGAACCATGTCTAAAATGGGCAAATGGCTGCTATGATTGAACTCTGATGAAAATCCAGGAGATCGGTGCTGGTTGACAGGCTGAGAGCATTACTAATGTCTTCCAGGTTTATAGCAATTTCGGCTGTTTTTACAGCTTTAAGCCTTGTGGGTGTACAATTTGGCTCGGAGTTGTCTCTCAGTAAACTGAAATCAGAAGGAATAATTGGCAAGAATTTAATTCACTTGGATAAGGAGAATGCCAATCATGTCATTGAGTTGTTTTTGGGGTCGTACACCACCATATGGTTGCTCGCAAATTTTGTGATCAATGCATTTATCCTTCTCAATCTTTGTCTCAAGGTAAGTTTACTGTGTGAACAGATTAACTATTTATTACATGGTCATATATTATGCATATATGTAAATTTTATTTTATATGTTCTGTGCTTCCTGCATGAGATGATTTCTTTTGTTTTAGCGGTGAGCTGGTAACTTCTATTTTTTCATGTGAGATACTGATGCTTAACTTAGTTGGAAGATTAACAGGGCACTGGATTATGGATACAACTTATCGATGCTATAAAAGTTGCCAATTTATCAGGGTGCAAGTTTCTTGGGCTACTTTAGAATTTGTTCTTTTCGTTATTTTATTAGAGTTCCTGAGAAAGTATGGTGGTTAATTGGTATTGGTTGTTATTTTTCTTCCTGCAAACTAGCATTTAGTTGGCAAATTAGCGCTGATAATGCTTTACTTGATGGTGTTTATATGTTCCTTTCTCTTTTCGTTTGACATATTCAAGTAGTCCAGAATTAATCCCTGATTCTGTAGATTACCATAATTTTTTCGGTTAATATTGTACCTAAATAATGTTATTCTTTCTGTCTCCTCTCGCAGACTATGTTTTTCTCTGAATTGTATCCTGCTGAAATTCGGAAGCTGGTTGAGTGTCTCATTAATTATGTCATCTACAAGGTTAAATTTTTTCTATGGATTTTAATGATTTTTATTGGAGGTGTATGCTTCTTTGACTTGGCATCTGGTTGAGCATCTCATTAAGTACGTTGTTTTCCAGGTTAATATTGTTGTTTATCGATTTCAATGTGCTTTGCTTTTAAATTTTATTAACAACTGAAGTTTTTGAATGAAAATCATTGCATTCATATTTTTTATTTTTAATTTTTCAGATTTTTACACACTCTGGTCTGAAATTACATTGAATTGGCATTTTTTTCAAGTGGTTTTTTCTTTATGACTTGGCTTCAGAGATTCATTTTTGTTAAATCAAGTTAAACCATGATAAAAAGTTAGGTGTGCTATTTGACCTCCTGGAAAATGGAGCTTATTTAGCTAAGGAAACCAGCAAACTGCTATAATCATCAACTATGATGGAATTGATAAAGACGTCAGGCGCTTTAGGCTATTTGACCTCCTGGAAAATGGAGCTTATTTAGCTAAGGAAACTAGCAAACTGCTATAATCATCAACTATGATGGAATTGATAAAGACGTCAGGCGCTTTAGGGTAATTCTTATGTCAATTTGGTTGAGAGGCTGCAGTTTTATGTCGGTCTATGAATGAATTGATTGTAGAACATTGTGCTGGGAAGCATTTTGAAGATTTTTTCCTTCTGCTGGGATTGGGTTCGTTGAAAAAAGTATCTTTAGAACGGTTGCTTTTAAATTGAAGAGGTGAGATTGAAATATTGCATGAACTTTGGGTTCGAGATTGCTGTTTCAAGCCTTTGAAAAGCTACAATGGTATTATCCAACGACATTAAGTTCATATTGGGGAAAAAAAAAGGTTCTTATGGTTTCTTTAATGGATTTTTGGTTCCTAGTTTCGTTTTCATGTAGATTTCAATTCAGAAAGCAGTTAGAACAATAGCGTAAGAAATGTTATGACATGATAGAATCATCTGAAGGAGTCCTGTTCCCTACACTAGGGTATGTTCACAAATTTCAAGTTTACTAAAATATCTGTGATTCCCAAAAACGTATAAAACTTGCTTGAAATTTTGCCATTGACTTCCTTATCTTTGAGGATAATCTTAAACCTTTGAACAGCTAAGTGTCATTATTGGAATATATATGTACCCTGCATTAGCAATATATGAATAGAAATGTATTTGCTTCTATCACTTTAGATTCCCTCCATTTTGAAGGGCTCAAATTGTATAGGACCACTGAGAACGTGAGTGTCTTTTTGGACTGATGGCACATATATGCAACATAACATATGCATGTTTTATTTGTGGATTAGTTGGAAAAGATGGTGACAAAAAATGAGGATCGAGAGGACTATTGCTGAATTTTGGTTTCCTTTTGCCGTCATGTCTGACATTCTAGTTACTAAATTTAGTTAAAAGAATTTCTTTTCCAGAATATGCCCCTTTTTGTTTTTGTTGCAGTATCTCCAAATTTTCACTTATCATCTCATAAGGGTGAAATTGTTTTTTGATATGAAATTACTACAACCCTTTTGATTTTTGAAATGGAGGAAGAAGGCTTTAAGCATCTAGTATTGACAATAAATGATATTGACTTTGAATATACTATTGTAATTTTGAAATTTTATGTTCAATAATCCTGACCCTGTTTAATTATTATTTATGTTTAATTGCTGATTGAACAGGGGACATTTCTACCAATGATAGTGCCTCCAACAATATATCAGGCAGGTCTATGGTCTAGTTGGATGATAGTGCTATGTTCTTTAAAGGTATATGATGCCAAAATGGATCATATGAGAAAAATTCTGTTTTATTTGATGCAAACGAAATTAATCCGTGTTACTTATTCTGACACTTCTTTTTCACATTGCACAGATGTTCCAAACTTTGGCCAGAGATCGTTTAGAGCGATTGAATGCATCTCCATCTGCCAGACCCTGGACTTATGGCCGTGTATATTCAGCATTATTGTTGGTTTTCTTGGTTGATTTATTTTGGTATTGCCTGCTCTTTTTAGTCCATTGTCTTATTTTTTTCATCACTGTTATCTTCATCATCATCATTATTGTTATCATGATTGTTATTTTGGCCATGGAATTTTATTGACTAGGAATATGATATAAGATTGGGCGGACTAATATGCTGTTCAAGTTCAAAATTTCAACCTGTAGATAGTAGAGCCTCTCACAGCTTAGGAAACTCTTGAAATAGCTTTTAGAAATTTAGACGCACCTCAATAAGGTTATAGATGAATTTTAAATTTTTTTCTGAATTCAAATCTAGGGTTGTAAATTTGATGCAAAAACAATCAAGTAAACCATTTTTCTTTGTTAATATCCTACGAGGCCCTTATTTACTGGAGATTCTATGGAGACGGAACGTAGTTTGTCTGACTGTCTTCCATTGAGTCTCTCCTTCCTTCCTTTTCTGGAAGCTGGATTCTTTTCATGATTGCTATTGTCAACTTTGGGTTTCTCTGATCTTGAATGCTATTGCATATTCTTACTAGGTGAATGAAATGAGTGTGGTTTTTGAAGTTTATAAATGCTTGTGTTTTCCCCCTCCTTTTAATGCTTCCAGGATAAGGCTATGTCTGACGATATATAAAACACACCCATCCTCTATGCTTCTGTTGCTATTCTACGAGCCTCTTAGTATCGCTTGTGAGACCCTGCAGGTATGTATAGGGCCCTTCAGGTTTGAGCTTACTAAAAAGTTTAGTTTGCAGTGTGATAGCGATGCTTGGTTCGATGATATTGTTGTATGATATGAGTTGTAGGCTATATTGGTACATGGCTTTCAATTGCTTGATATATGGCTCCATCATTCAGCATGCAATACCACTGATAGTGGAAGGTCAAAACTCTTCGACACATTAGCAGCAGGTACTGTGGATAATATTTTTCTTGTATAAATGTTGTTGTATTATTTGCAATCTACGCAGTTGTGGGGTAGTTAGGATTCTTCCTCTTTCTTTTTCCGATAAAAAAGTATTTATTCATGCGGAGAAAACAATCCAATGAGGGAAAACAAGTAATCCTCTGAATACTCTGAAGTTAGGGGTAATTTCATCTATGAATGTGGTTGTATTACTATTAATTGCAGTCAAAACAGTTGGGTAGTAGTTAGTTTTTTTCCTCTTTATTTTTCTAATAAAAAGCATCGATTCATGGGGTAAAACAATCTAACAAGGGAAGACAAGTAATCCTCCGTGTACTCTCAATCTGTTACTAAATATTCACTGACTTAAAAGCAGATTTCAATCCCTTTGTAAATCTGCAAATCATACCTTCCTAAAAACACTTGTACTGAAAACAATAGGCAGGCCGTGAATTATTACCTAAGATACCACAGTCCCGTGATTACAGCACAAAACAAAGAAACTTAGTGGCTAAAAAACTGTACATCACTTGAACACACCCAATGCTCTCACTAAAGTAGTAGAGAATGTAATTCGCATCTTCCATTCTACTTCACTGTGCAGAAAAAGAACATATTATTTCTTATTTTTGAACTCTGATAGCACATTTCAGAACATATGGAGGCACAGCCATATTGGGCCTTTAGATCTGAAACAAAGCATCTGTATTAATTTTATCTAATATCATGGTCCAAGCAAAATCCTTGGCCTTAAAAGGTGCCTAGGTATTACAAATGAAGCTTCTATTGTGGGAGGCCAGAATTCTAGATAGGCTTGATCTCAGTACTTAGATTTTGCCTTTTCTGTTAAAAATTTCAAATCTTAGGATTGGGGGGGGGGGGGGGAAGAATTATTACCCCCTTATCTTTCCCTCATAAGGAAACTTTTATGATGTCTGTGTTTTTCCCGTAAGTTATCTAGTTTGGTAATTTTTCTCTGTGCTATTAAGCTGTGATCTTTTCTGTTGCATGCCATTTTTTAACAACAATAAATGCTAAAATGCAACTCGAGTTTGCCTTCATGAACGGCACAAAGCCTAGTTTTTAAGACACTGTTACAGTATGATTGCGTGTTAAAAGGAATATAAGTTCAATAATTTCAATTTATTATTGTGATTTTATAATGTTTTCTTTTCTTTTTTAATTAATATTTTGGAGACATGTATATCCTTGCATGTGCTTGGCTTGATGGGGGAGTATCTGGGTGGTAGAAATTTTCTTTTCCACTTCTTTATTCACAATGATGTTTTTTCCCCAATATTTCTAATTATTGCTATTGGCCCTGTTTAGTTAATACTGATAATACTATTCACCAAGAAAGAAAACATATTTTACTGCTGACACCATATTTGTTCTTATATTGCTGCCTGATGCGCCTTTCTCTTGCTTGTATCAACTTAATTGAAACCCCAATTTCCTAATTTACAAGTCTGACTGCAGGATCATTATTGGAATGGAAGTGGAGTCTTATTCGGAATTTGGGATTCTTACTAGACATGGCAACTTCTTTTACGGCTCTTGGCCATTACTTCCATATTTGGTGGCTTCATGGCATAGCTTTCCATCTTGTAGATGCAGTGCTATTTCTAAACATACGAGTAAATATTTGTGTAAATATTTCATTCTCTCTGCATGAATTAGACTGTCGATTCAATTTTCATTTTGAGATTCGCATGATATTTGATTTTATGGTCTTGTTTTTAACAGACACTGCTAAGTGCAATTATAAATCGCATAAGAGCCTATATCAGGTTAAGGAAGGCTTTAGGTGCGCTACATGCAGCTCTTCCTGATGCAACTACTGAGGAGTTGTTGTCATATGATGATGAATGTGCTATTTGCAGGGTATGCTAGATTGCTAGTTTTCCTAGGCACTTTTCATTGGTTGGTTTTAGCGATTGAAATACTTTTGCAAATCTTATAATTGTTTTCTTGGCAGGAGCCCATGGCCAAGGCTAAAAAGCTAAACTGCAAACACCTTTTCCACCTTGCGTGTTTGAGATCTTGGTATGATACTTTTCATGCATTTTGTTGTTCTTCTGTTGGAGTGAATCTTAGCGTGATACTATCAGCCTCAAATTGATTACAGGCTAGATCAAGGATTGACAGAGATGTATACCTGTCCAACATGTCGGAAGCCACTTTTTGTTGGCCGGCCTCAAAATGAAGCAAGCTTCAATACACGGGAAACATCAAGTGAAGAACCACATGCACACCAAATAGGTTCAGGGCTTGATCAGCCAAACACTGGTAGACATGTCATGGCTGCTGGATTATTTCCCAACCAAACACCAAACATGGAAGGCATTTCTTGGAGGTTAAAAATTTCTATGTGATGCTTTATGCTTCTCTGGCTCCATTCTTGGCTTTCAGGATGTTAATTTTATTTGTTTATCAGATTGGTATTTTTGAAGTTCAAAACACTATTCTGGTCCTAAAATATGCTTAATGTTTCTTATTGGTCTCTAAAGCTTTTCTTATTTCAGATAAATTTGGAGGTTTGAAAAATGTTCTGAATAAATTGTACGTAGTACCTCTTTTAACTGATTTATGTTAATGAAACGTGCATGCCTGCCTGGGGTAGAAGGACCATGAGCCGACAAACCTTGAAACCCAGAGAAAAGAACTCTAAATAAGTGGCATTGGGGAAATATTATCTTGCTGTAGGACTCTGCTATTCTGCTAGAAAATGCCTGACAAATCCGTTGCTTCTTAGAAATACTGAAAGGTTGCCAACAAATAATGGTTCAGATCCCATACCCCATGAAGTGTGGGTGTGAATCTTACTGCCAATATGAGAACCTTATTGGTGGATAAATTGTAAGTATCTCTTAAGTGTTATTTGAGCTATGAGGCCTTTCCTTACCGTGGTAAGCCTCTGACCCAACTCACTCAAAATTTTCTTTGCCCCGAAAAAAAAAAAAAAACGGAAGAAAATTTTGGGAGGCCAATTCTTAAAGTCGGACAGATCTACACCTCACAATGTAAATGAGATGATTGTTTTTCTGAACTCTGAAAATCATATGCTCTGAGGCCTATGTTCTGTGTTTTTCTCTTTCTAACAAGGATAGCTACCCCAATAAAAGTTCAGTTTGGAGCGTTTATCTATTGCCCATGAGACAAAAATTGTGAGCAGTACTTTTTTAAATGGAACTGTGGGAAGAACTTCATGGTGCCTGAGCCAGAAGAGTCTAATGTCCGTACACACATGTATGTGTGCCTAAATGACATTATTTTTTAACTTTTGGCTCACATTCAAGCAACTAGCCGTTGACTTGTTTGGGGTGCGTGTGTTTAAATTGTATTAAAAGAAAAATGTTGCAATATGTTAGTGTACTGACAACATCATAATTTGAGCAACTGAAACATCAAACTGTTTGATACATATTTTTTAAACATTAGTTCGTATTAGGAGAAAAGACTGCTTTATGTTTTTTTTCCTGCTTTTTTCCCCAGAATTTACTTTACTAACTATAGAAATAAAAAATTATACATTTGGTTGTGCTTTACAAAAATAAGGTATGCTTGAATTGATTCACTTTTTTGGTTTGACTTTACGTTCCCCTATATAGGGGTGCAGCAGGACTGGACTCACCTTGGTTGCATTCTTGGCCAAATCAAGGTGGCGATGGGGCTGGTCCATCTACTGCAATCAGATCAGTTGGATTAGGAAGGGTTCAAATGATGATGAGACATCTTGCATCTGTTGGAGAAAATGCTCAGAATGCCCTTGAAGATTCTGCCTGGAGCCTTTGGCCTATGAATACTTCTCAGGCTTCTGCAAGTGGTTCCCGGATTCCTCCTTCTCATGGGAGGCTCCCAGGGGGCTCTGATAATGTACACATGAGGAATGCTTCACGTTTTGCAAATGATAATCTGGCAAATATACTGGCTATGGCCGAGACTGTTCGGGAGGTTCTACCTCATATACCAGATGACATAATTTTCCAGGTATGGTTTGTCTCAAGATAAGATGTTTTAGGATCCAAAATTATTGGTTTGTATAAGTAATTTTGTCTGAGATTCCGGTCGGGAATGCTTGATGGCAATTGAGTGCAGTTTATAAACCAGCTTTACACTTTCACATGCTTTGATTGTAAACATGCAACGTGTGGCCCATGTTATGTAAAATTTAGCTAATACCCATATTGGTCTATAGATCTTCTGAACTTCATCCTTATAATAAGATCAAGTATTGTCGAACCCAGTTATGTCAGCACATTATTGATGGGACGCAAGGACGAATTCTAGGAATCTTGCAATGATAATTAGGGGTTTTCGTAGCTACCATACTTGTAGACACATGGGGTTCATGCGTGTCTATTATTTAAGGAATGTAATTGGAATTTTTTTTCCGAATAGGCTTTGTATCAGGAAACTCTTCTCTCAACTTTCTCATCCGGTCTGATATTTATTTAAGTAGGTGGGCCTTACGTATTGTTTGGAGTCTGAAAAACGTAGACTACACGCTTTAGAGCTTGTGAATATGAATGGGGAAGCATGCTGTAGACTTCATATTTTATAGATATTGATTTCCTGAATTGTTACTAAAATGAAATTAAAAGTTAAGTTGTGCAACTCTTTCGCCCAAAGCATGTATCAGGTGAAACTCCAAATATGGTGTAGTCGTACTGTGGAATATTTAAATGTACGATAAGTTAGTGTAATTTGCTCGATGTTTCATGTTTAATGAAATCAATGGTTATTGGTATTCTTGTTTAAGATTATTGCTTGTCTTAATATATATTAGAATCTAAAGCTGTAGAGATACTGCAGGACTTGCAGAGGACAAATTCCGTGTCAGTTACAGTGAATAATCTTCTCCAAATGTGATATATAGCGTGATATTTAGAATTGGTTCGGGGAGAGAGAGAGAGTCATGGGGGTTGATCCCCGTTTTTCTCCCTCATGACCCTTTTGTCGTCTTCCTCTCTCATGCGGGACTATAAATTTGCTGGAGATAGTTGAGGCGGGATGTTTCTGCATATGAGTAGGTATATGGAGAATTTGAAGTCGATCTCTTGAAATTAATTCAGATGAAATAATGAGGGAGAAAGATGGAAAAAAGCGGGACCTATTTGCATCTTTGTGTTTTATTTCCCCTCTATTTAATTCAGGTGAAGTTCAATACCAAAAATACCAAGGAGGCCTGTAACTTTAGGTTTTTGAGTTACCAATATCCTTGGAAATTTATAGGCTATATTTTTTGTATATAGGATCAGCAATTATACCCAAGAAAGAGTGGATAAGTATAGGTTTTATTCCTTCCTCTTTTTCTTGCATTAATAAAAAATGATTGTGATTTTTCTATGATGCCAAATTGGAAATGTGTTTTTTTTTTTTGGTTTGCTAGTTTCATTCTCATTTAAATATATTATTTAAGAGTTTTATTTTACCATGTGAATGCTGGGTTAATTGCCAAATTGGTACATGCATAAAAGATATCTTTGTGAACTTTGGATAAAAATATTTAATCTTAGTTTTTTACATGGGAAAAAAAGGCTCTTTGTCCTGTTTGTTGCAAGGCAAAGGAAAGCAAAGGTAAAAGAAAATCGAAGAGCCTGCATGTTTGTTAGAAATGATGAGAATTAAACGGAAGGGGGTGATAGGGTTAAGGGATAAAAAGAGGGAGAATGACAAATAAAGATATTGAAAATAACTAAATGCCAAATCAGGATTTGTTGCCACATTTTGATAGGTTTTGACAATATTTAATTTGTAAATAACAAGATTAATGATTTTGTGATTTTTATGATTTTTTGGGTCGTTTTTTCATAAAAATATTCATGAATATTCATGAATTATTGCTCGACTAGCCGCTAGAAATGACAATATATTCAAGAGAGATAAATTGGGTATTCGACAATTTTTCAGGATTTTCAAAGCTTTTTTTTTTTTTTAACAGTAGAATGTAGTATGAATGTGAGCGTGAAATCCAATTCAAGAATTTGTTTGCAAGAATGCTAAAGTAACTTTCATAATCATAATAAAGCACAATGACTAATGAAGCATGAAGCTTAAACTTGAATTTCAAAAGGAAGTTTTAAGTATAAAATAATAAATATGTTGTGTATGAAAAAAAATAAAACAATACATATGGTAAAACTGTTTTCAACACTAAATAAATAGAGTATAAATAAAAGTTTAAGGAATGATGCGGTGCAAGCACCTGAAAGGGAATGCGTTAATTTCCCACCAATTTGAATCTATCTCTGTTCTGTTATTAAAAAACAAAGCAGCAACATGGATATTTAAGTTAACAAAACAGAGGAATATATAAAGATCCTAAAGAAGTTGAAAGATAAAGTTAGAAGGAGCATGGGGCTGCGGATTACAGAGGTAGGAGATAGAGAAGCAGACGAGGTATATGTCTGTCTCTTGAGAAAGTCATTGGCAGCAGGAGAAAGGTTTCTCATAGAGAATAAGGAGCAGATAAAAAAAAAATTGAGTCTTTTCTATTATTATTTTTTAATTGAAATATGAATTTGTTAAAAAATTGAGTTGATCTCGCAGCCAAAACTAAAAGTGTTAAAAAAAAGAAGAATTAATATATACTTTAGCCTGTTGATATATTAGTGTTGAATTTTAGCTAAAAAAGTGGTAAATTTCTAAATCTTAATATTAAATTTTGAAATATCAATATCAAATTACTCAATAATATTTTCTCCTTTATTGAAACTTTAAAATGTACTATTATTATTATTTTAATTAAAATATGATTTTGTTTTTAAAAATTGAGTTGATCTCGCGGCCAACTAAGATTAAAATAATATGGCCATTAGATGAAACTAAAAGTGTTGATGTTGAAAAATTAATGTATACTTTCGCCCGTTGTTAAGTTTTGATATATTAGCGTTGAATTTTAGCTTAAAAAAACGTTAAATTTCTAAATCTCAGTATTAAATTTTGAAATATCAATATCAAATTACTCAATAGTATTTTGCCCTTTATTCAAACCTTAAAATGTTTTAATTTTTAAATAAAATTAACCGAATCTTTTGTCTTTTACAAATTTAGTTATTTTATAGAGAAAAATTTAAATTTGTAACCAAAATCAAAATTTTTTTTAATCGTTCACAGTGTTGGGTCATCTTGATGCTATCGGGTCGGATCATAGAGACGCCATGTTTAGGGCAAATGATATACTTCCCGCTGACCACTGCGGGGTTTGAAGGAGGGAGCTCGCAGTTGCCCAAAGCTAAAGCGTTCTTCGCTTCGTCGCAACTCCCATTTTCCGTCGCTCGTCGTTTGCGTCAGTCGAAGGGAAACTTAGTAAAAGGTCTAGAGGGAACAAACCAGTGCTTCCACTGATAATTTTCAAAATTTTGACAGTTCTCATGGAATTGGCATTGGATTGAAAACGTTTTGGCATTTGGTGGTAAACGAATCTGTGACGCCCATAAACGAGAATTCTACAATTTGCGCCGAACTTTACTACTGAAGTTTGTAAGAGTGGAGAGTGCGGAATAGAGAATGGGGAATAAGGATTACAAGAGGCTAAAAGGATGTCAGAGCTTCAGGCAACGATTAATTCTCGCCACTCTCTCTGGTAATTCGATTATTATCGAGGATATTCGTGCAGACAAGACTTTCCCGGGTCTTCAGAAACACGAGGTCTCTTTTCTTCGTTTGCTTGAGAAAATCTGCGATGGTTGCTATGTCGAAATCAACGAAGCTGGTAATTTCAGTTTTTCTGTTGGCTTATATGATGTTTTTTAAATTCTGAAAATGATTCAACTGGCTATGTGGGGGCTGAATTGTGTTTCATTTATGGATAGCTACTAAATTGAAGTACAAGCCTGGAATTATCATGGGTGGGAAGAATCTTGCGCATGACTGTGGTGTTAGTCGTTCCATTGGTTATTTCTTGGAACCGCTGCTCGTTCTTGCTTTATTTGGAAAGAAGCCGCTCGAGATTAGGCTCAAAGGTAATTTATTGTGTCTTTTTAAACGTGATGCATTTTACAGAATGACCTTTTAATCACAAAAAGAGACTAGAATGGTGAAGCATGCGCTTAACTTTAATGGGTAAACAGAAACTTTTGGCGATTGAGTGCAATTTGATGCTAATTCATAGGAGATAAGTCAGACCAATTATTTTCCCCCTGTTATTATCTCGTGATGTTATCTCTTGTAATCACGTATTACCCCCCCCCCCCCAAAAAAAAAAAAAGAAGCAAATATATATGTGTGTGTGTGTATACGAGGTTGTAGGATAACTGAGGAAATTATGTCTGCTACTTTTTGGCAATTTGGTGCCAGCTGATGATAATGCATATGGGATAAGTAAAGTAATTTGATCTATATATATAATAATATTGTGATAATTATAGAAAGTAAGTAGCTATTAATTGCAGTTCCTCTGGCTCTTGATGATGGTTCATGATATGCTGTTATATTTGAAGTATGAGTTGCTATCTTCCTCTGAGGTTTCAGTTTCAGAGAGAATCAAACTTATGACTTATAATATGAAGTGCTATCTTCCTCTATATTGCAGGGATGAATGTTAACTAGATTTTATATGAATAATAAATATACTAACTAAATGATATGCGGGATTCAAAGCAACAATGATGGGATATAACCAGATGATCTGTTAGTTATAGCTGTTCAATATTATGTTACCAGGAATTACAAATGATTCTAAGGATCCGTCAGTTGATACTTTCCGCTCCACCACTCTTCACATATTGAAACGCTTTGGAGTCCCTTCTGATCGGCTGGATCTTAAAATAGAGTCTCGTGGAGTTCCTCCAAATGGTGGTGGGGAAGTCATTTTGTCTGTGCCTGTTGTTCAGAGTCTTAATGTGAGTATCCAAATTTAGTACTAATTTCTAATTATATAATTTTATTTGCAATCTTACATATTTGTCCTAGCAGGCAGTTTCCTGGACTGACGAGGGCATGGTTAAGAGAATTAGAGGAGTTACATTTTCTGCTAGAGTGTCCTCTCAGTTTGAATATACCTTGATTCATGCTGCCCGCGGAATATTTAATCGTCTACTCCCAGATGTACACATTTTTACAGATCACAAAACTGGCCCACAGGCTGGAAAGTATGATCATCATATACTTTATTTTACGTTTGTTAATATATTTGTTAGGGATTTGATAAATCCCAAGTTCTATTGTATAACCTTGTTTTTGGGTGATTTGTCCTCTTAATAACACAGGTCTCCTGGATATGGGATTTCGCTTGTTGCAGAAACTACTTCTGGCTGCTTCATTTCTGTCGACACTGCTGTTTCTCGTGATCATGCTGAAGAAGCTACTGACTTCACAGATGATGAGAAGAAAGACCTGATACCCCCAGAAGACATTGGTCAGCAAACTGCTTATGCTTTACTTCAGGAAATCCAGCAGGGCGGAGTAGTGGATTCAACGCATCAGGTCTGAATTCTTAATTAAACCGGTCCTTGTTAACCTTTCTGGTCAATGTTTTTTTTTTTTTTGGTTTTGTTTTGTTGTGCTTTTTGAACTTCTGAGAAACGAAAGATTTGAAGAGTTAGTTGTTGATAGGGTTCAATGTCATTCTTTGATCTGCGTAGCTAATCTTATCCAACGGAATAAGGCTGCTTGTTGTTATTGCTTCAAGAAATCCTGTTTCTGTTGTTCAATTGCATATTTAGTCGAAATAGGCCTAGCTCCTAGATAATGACTTCTCCTTGATGCTGGACAAAGTATACGAGGTTCCAATCTCTCGTTTTATTTTCTTCTTCCATTTGCCTGGACCTATCCTTTCTTTCTTTAACACTGTTGTTCGGTGTGCAGGGTCTGTTGTTTCTTCTCTGCTCACTATGTCCACAAGATGTTTCCAAGATTCGCGTTGGACAGTTATCCCAGCATGGGATAGAAACACTGAGAAACATAAGGGAGTTTTTGGATTTGAAGTTCGTTATAAAGCCAGATCCAAAGACTCACACAGTAATTCTTAAATGTATCGGTGCTGGCTTGAAGAACCTTTCCAGAAAGCTGTCTTGAAGGTGATGAGTCCTTGTATTACTATAATTTACCTATTTTTGTTTGTTACAAGCTCCTAGGACTTATACTAGAACATTTTTGATCAAATTACTCTAGTTCCTTTTCTGTTAGTAATTCACATTTTTGGGCTGCAATGAATTAATCCAATTGACCAAATTTTCTTCTATTGAAGATTTTTTTTTGGTCACCCTCTTTAATTGTATTCATGAGAAAGTGATGAGGAAATTTGCTGGCCAGACCAACCATGAAGTCAACATAATAATATATAGATTTAAACAGTACGAGAGTTGTTTAGTTTCCTTTGTTTTTAAATGAATTTTAATGATTTACTATTCTATT